GGCCACAAAAGTGAGAGGCCCGCGTCCGCCCCCCCCCCAAAAAGAATACAATCTAAATTCGAGGGAAAGTCTCAAGGCCCTGTGTCCTGAGCAGTGGGGTCACCCTCGCTCATTTGGTTCCCCTGACACCACCGCTTGGGAGCTCTCTCCCTCCCGTGCCTGGGAAAAAATGAATGACGGCCCAAGCCTGCAAGGGAGACGATTTCTAGGCATGTCAGGGACTGTGTTCTGCGCGTCCTTCCATCTTCCAGGCTTCCTGCATCGTAGCTTTTTTTTTTTTTTATTTTTTTTAATACAGCAGGTTCTTATTAGTCATGCATTTTATACATATCAGTGTATACATGTCAATCCCAATCTCCCAATTCATCCCACCACCACCCCCCGCGCCCCCTGCATTGTAGCTTTACCAGAGTCAGAGGCATGCATGGAGAGGACACAGAGAGATACTCACAAAAGCCTCTCTTGTATCTCTTCTTTCGCACAAACCACGCCCCCCCCTTTTTTTTTCTTGGTAGAGACACTTGGAAACATGTATTCTGAGAGAATCAGAAGGTTTTGGTACACATGCCATAAAAATGTGATGTGATACACACATCACATGTGAGCCCCGCTATGGCTAAACAATCACCTCCCTACCTCACCCCCCACCCCCAATGCTTGGCGGCTGCTCACTGTCCTGGGGACCCTGTCAGGAGCTTCTGTGGAGCTCATGCATTGTTGGACAGCGGGGTGTTCTTGTTTAACGTCCTTCAGCTAAAGCACAGTTACGTTCTTCAACAGCTCCCTGTCAGTGTGTCCTGAGGCCCCTCCCCCTGCCCCTCCCCCAAGGAAAGCTGTCACCTCTCTGGGTGCAAAGGGAAGGCGCTGTCTGTGGCATTTTGGTTTCATAGCTGTTCAGCCCTGTCGCACACCCCTTTAACACAGTGTGTACCTTGTATACATTTTTGTTACCCTGAATTATCAGAGTGTGAATATTTAGACGTTTAAGTCATCAGAAAAGGACGTTTAAGAGGAGGATATTTGAGGTGTGAAGTTTTAAAATCTGTGTATGTTTGTGGGGTAAAGTTTACAGAGTTTATAAAAGTGTGCTATGTGTTTCCCAGAGTCTGGTTAGAATTAGTCACTTAAAGGAAGCTATTACTCCATACTACCCACCACTGCCTTTAGGCGTCCACCAAGGCTTGCATTGTCTATTATATCCTCTCCCATCACAGGGTGTAAAATTGCCACTGACAGCCCAGGATTGCTTATGGTGGTAGAGTGAGTCTGAGCAGTTAGAGATACTTTATAATTATGAACAGAGCTTAATACAGACGTGATTTCTTGGAGACCCCAAAGAGTGAACTTCATTATGGAAAAGATTTTGTTCCAAAGACCCTCATTCTTTCCCTTAGCTTACCATAGCATATTATAAAAATAAGCCTGGTAAAATGTCAAGAAGCCTTATGGTTTGAGGTCTTACATTCAGATTTTTCATCCAGTCTATTTTTTGTGTATGGTGTAAGATAGGGGCCCAGTTTCATTCTTTTGTATGTGGCTATTCAGTTTTCTCAAGACCATTTTTTGAAGAGACTGTCTTTTCCCCATTGTATATTTTTGTCTCCCTTGTCATAAATTAATTGACGATATATATGCATAAGTTTATTTCTGGGCTCACTATTCTGTTCCATTGAGCTATGTGTCTGTATTTAGGCCAATACCATACTGTTTTGATTCCTATAGCTTTGTAATATAGTTTGAAATCAAGAAGTGCAATGCCTCAAGCTTCTCCTTCTTTCTCAAGATTGCTTTGACTATTCAGGACCCCCAGCAAGTGGTCTCCTCCCTTTTGGATGTTACCAAATGTCCTTGGAATCTGTCTTTCCTTTCCCTTCTGGTTGGTGTTACTTGAGTTCAAACCACCTCTTGTCAGGTGCCTCCAAGCCCTTAGCTCACCAGTCTATGCTATGCACTGCTCCCAGCAGCCACCATGATCCTTAAAATACAGATCTGATTGTTGAATTCCCAGCTCAAAGTCAGTAATGGTCTTGAATCCTGTCTCCAGAATGAAACTTAGACTCAGTAGTGGGTATTCAAGTTGTTCAGTGTCTGGACTTAGCTTCCTGTTGAGCCCTTTTACCAATGCAGTCTCTCATTCATTCCACGCTGGGCTCCACCTTTCCACGCTGTGCTCTCTATTTTCCCGCCCCTCAGAATTTGATGCTCTGCTCCACTAGGAATGGGCCTAGAACTGCATACCCAAGTGCCACTGATGTCTCTGCCAAGGCCCCCATGAACCCTTTCCTGATCCTCTTCCTTGTTTAGAATAGTTAGCATCTTACTGTATGGTGCTTTGTAATGTAGTTATTTGCCTCTATGTGTGTCTTTCCTCATTAGATTTAAAATGCATGAACTGGGGGACTGTGTCCGACTCATCTTTCCACCTTGGAATCCCTCACAGTGCCCGGGATATCGTGACAACAGTAAGAGGAAGAGGAGCTTATCAAATACTGTTAAGGTGTTTAAACTATCTCTAAAATTGGAACTGATACAAGTGCAGGCTACTTAGATTTTATTTTTAAAAACTTCAGGATGCTGATTTCAGAGGCTTCTTGACTGTGTCTGTGTTTGTATGTGTCTGTCTTTACAGCTTGAGCCTGGGTGTGACCAACAAACCTTTGGATCGAAGGGGGCCTTTGGGTTTCAGCATCCTGTAAGGTAATATCTGACTTCACTGTAAGAAATGTATTATTTCCTTTTTAAAAATTATTATTTTTATTTTTATGTAACATTTCTAAAGGTTTACAAGATATGATTTTAAAATGGGTATATTTTATGGTTTTTATGTTAATTGATACAAACATAGCAAAATACCTATGTGTATAAATTATTTGGCCAGTATCTGCTCACTTCATACCTTTAAGAAAGAGAATATAAGCTCATTTGCAATCATAATAATTAACTAGTTAATAACATAAAGCAAGCTAAAATAATTTTTAAAGAATGTTGACCTGAAAAAGTGTAATGATTCTCAGTGTAGGTGTTCCTATGTGGGACAAATTAATGTGTGAATTACAACACAGTTTAAAAGTACACATGCGTATAATTATCCTCGAAAGATAATTTATAATTTTTGAAGATAAATCTATGACATTTCAGAATAATGTTTTTCAGTCCTTAATGATCTTGAAAAAACGATTAAGGCTGCCTTCCACATAAGGCGCCCTTGCTGGACTATATTATTTCCTTTAAATATAAGCATTAATACACTTCAGTGTCTTCAAGTGTATACATTTTCAAAAAATGGAAAATAATTCAGTATATTGTCCAGCATTATTTAGTTATGATTATCCCAAGGAACTTCAAGGATATTTTGTTGGATTTCTAGAATCTATTCATTTATTCATTCATTCAGTGTTTCACTTGCAAGTTGGAATTGGCCTCTTTTCTTTATACTAGTTTATACCTCTTTTTTATACCATATTTTGCCTTGTGTTAAATTTAATTGCATATGAATTATATATGCATATCAGCTTATTTACTTAGATATTTAGGTATATTTCTATTTTTCTCCCAGGATATAAGTTAATGTACTGCCTAGTGCAAAGTAGACTCCCTAAATGTAGATGTGAAGTAAATGAGGGACTGGATGGATACTGTACCACGGTTGGATCCTCTGGCCTCTGAGTAGTTCTTTCATGGTCCTGGTCTTGGTGGTGATCAGGACCCTCACTGCTGTATCCCTCTTTTTTGTTTGTTTCTTGGCCACGCCACTTGGTTCCTTGACCAGGGATCGAACTTGTGTCCCCTGCACTGGAATTGCGGAATCCTAACCACTGGACCACCAGGGAATTCCCTATATCCCTCTTACATTTCATCCATTTTGGGCAAGTGGTTCATGCACTGGACTTTTATCTGTTTCTCTATGTCTGTTTCTCTCCTATCTCTCTCAGCCTGTCTCTCCAGCTGTCATTTCCTTCAGCAAAATAAACCTAGCCTATGCTGTCACCTCTCATCAGAGTATTTTTCCCCTGGTTGTCCTGGAAGACTAGAAGCTTTAATAAAACTCAAGGATACTAATTGCCAGAGATGAAAATTAGAGGCCCTCAAACTGATCACAGAGTGATTTTTGGAAAAAGGAAGTTTTCCTAGTGTTTCACATCAGTGGTCTTCAATCCTCATGAAATCACTGGGGAAGCTTTACAAATACAGGCGGGAGGTGGGGCGGGGCGATTCCCCTAGGGGTGCTGGGGAAAAGCGTGGGTATCTGTATTTTTACAGGCTTCCCAGGTGACCCCAATGTGGGCTGGGGTTGGGAGCCACCCCCTCCTTCATGCCCCATGAGCCTTCACCTTCACATCTGCCCCCGGGCCTGCCTCACAGACTGCTGTGCCCTGACTTTTGATTCATTGAAAATGCAGTGACTGGTGATGTGTGATCTGCATCTGTGTAATTGTGCATTGCGGGCTGGATACATAACTTTATTATAAAATTTTATCTTTTTATACACAAAAATGGGGAGAATGATATAGTCAACCCCCATGTGTATCACCAGCCTCAATAATTATCAGTATTCTCAGGATCTGATCATGATTATCATCTCTCCCAAAGATTTGTTGTTGTTGTTAGAATAGTTTAAAGCAAATCCCAGACATCCTACACACTCACTTGTAAATACTTCAGCATGACACCTAATTTTTAACATGGCCAACCACTAAACTATGCTGTCCTAGATTTACATAGATGTGCATTCTCTCTGTTGCAGAGTTTCTCAGTCTCGGCACTACTGACGCTTTGGACTGGCTAATTTTTAAAAATTGAAATATGGTTGACTGGAGTGGATAATTCTTTGCTGTGGGGCTGTCCTGGGCATTGTGGGGTGTTTAGCAGCATCCCTGGCTTCTACACACTAAATGACAGTAGCTGCCCTTCAGTTGGGATAACTAAAGTTGACTCCAAACATTGCTGAATATCCCCTGGGGGTTGAGAACCATCAACTATTGGAAATCTTAGAAAGTTCAAAATTGCCCTACATTATTTATAGTAAGGTGTTTTCTCTCTCCCTTTTCTCCTCCGTCCAAAAAGGGGGGAATTGAAATCAGCTTTGCAAACAAGCAATGATCGACTGATAATCCCTCTCAGTTCCTTTGTAAGACCACAGGGGGAAATGCAAACAATTAGTAAGTCAGAGCTACAAGAATGGATTATGGGGACAGTGGGACATTTAAAATACTTTCCATGTATAACTGGAATCTTAAATTCACAAAACCTGGATGTAGAGGTTCCAAATTCTATATATTCCTTTTCTTCCTTCTTTCCTTCCCTTCCCTCCGCCCGCCCCCCCTTCTCTCTTTCTCCCTCTCCCTCTCTCTCTTCTAGAAAAATTGCCAGGGTTGCCATTTTCTATTTTGCCAAAGTGAGGAATGCACCCCTACAGGCGACATTTACTACGGTAACCTTCAGAAAGATTAGCCACTTCTCTAGACCAGGGTTTCAGGGTCAAGTTTCCTCCAAAGTCATGACATTCCCTCTGCTTGTGGGGGTCAGGGGGGGAGTGAGGCAACCCCTGAATAGGACATAGATTATCCAGGATGAATCAGGTCCTTTGTTCGATCGGAGAGAGCCTCTTAACCTTAGAACTCAATGTTTTACTACCCTTTTACCTTTGTGGAAGCACACCCTTCTCCCTGTGTTGGTCTAAATTGATCTGCTCACCCAGATTACAGCTCACTTCTGACCTAGTGTGGAGTTCACTACCAGATCCCCCCATCTGCCCACAGTTTTGTGTTCTGGTGACTTAAAAAAAAAACCCACCGTGCACAGTGAAGGTAAAGTCAGGAGGGAAGATTGGGGGTTAGCTGCTTCTAGGGAAAAGGATCCTCTAGATGCAGTTTAAGATTGTTTTCAGGTTGATTAATGGTGTATTTGTTTCTTAAATATTAGACTTTATTTACCCATTTCTAAGCGTCAAGAGTATCTGCAGAGTTCTGGGGAGAAGGTGCTGGCCAGCTTCCCTGTGCAAGCCACCATTCACTTCTACAACGATGAGTCCAATTCAGACGAGGAGCACGACCAAGAGGTCCAGCCCTCTGACCTGCAGAGCCAGGAGGCGCAGGACGGCCCAGGAGGAAAGGGCAGAGACCGGCTGACAAACCCAGGATGGCACCCCGGAGGCTGCGGTGGCCTCGGTGGTAAGGGTCTGCTCCCCTACCCTGACTCTCTGGAGGATGCTGGGTGCCCCTCATCCAAGTAGTCTGTCTCTCCTGCGCCAGACCCACCTCACATGTGCCCTGGGGGCAACCCTTGGGGACAGCCGCGCCAGGACACTTTGCGTTTCAACACACTTTGCATGTATGAGGACTTGACTTTCTTTGGCCAGCACCCCTCTCGTGGCGAGGACTCAGCTTTTACTCATCCCTTCTCCTAGTGATTCTCTGTGCCTCATTTGTACCTCTGAGAAAGGATTCTAGGTCCAATAGGTTTGCATCCACATGGGTTGTTATCAGGCGGGGCCAACTTTCAAAGCACATTCGGCAATGTCACTGTGCTGATCAAACGACAAATTATTCCATATCGATTAATAACCCACCCTCGCATCTCACTTAACCCGAGACCCTTTATTTGGCTATTTCCACTTTTGTAAAAATGATTCAGATATTGTCCGAGGTTGATGTGGTTGCTTAGTGACATTCTGAAAAAAAAGTTTATTTATAAAAAAACAAACACAGTGAATAATTTCCATACAAGTAACAAAAATAAAAAGATAAGGATCTATGGGGGGAACCATTCTGGATAAAAACATATATGATGCTTGCCTAAGCACTGTGTGTATGAATAGAGAGATGAGCTTTAACTCTTAGCTGGGGACCGCTTTGGGCTTATTACTTGACTAGAGTAACACTGTTTTCAATCAAAGTACCAAATGTAATATTATTTTCAGCTTTTTATATTTTGATGACCAAATGAGTGTATTTGTCAAGGTTTTTTACTTAACTATTTTGCATGTTGTTGTCCTCCCAGTTTCTACTTGAAATAAATATTTTGAGAGACAAAATCGTTTGATAATCATCTTTTTTGTTTGACATTTTAGATTCAATTAGTGCCTCCTTTAAAGTTTTTAAAAGTTTGTCAGGATTTTTCTATATTTAACTCTTTATATTTCTGTTTTTTTAAGAATGCAGAAAAAGTATAAAAATGAAAGCAAAATGGCCTATAAGCTCAATGCCCCGAAAAATCCATTAATATTAAAAAATAGGAGGGGGACTTCCCTGGTGGTCCAGTGGTTAAGAATCCGCCTTCCAATGCAGAGGGCCCAGGTTGGATCCTTGGTCAGGGAACTACAATCCCACATGCACTGGGGCAACTAAGCCCAGGAGCCACAACTACTGAGCCCAAGCACTGCAACGAAAGATCCTGCATGCTGCAACTAACACCTGGCACAGCCAAAAATAAATAAATAAATATTTTTTTAAAAAATAGGAGGGAATTCCCTGGCGGTCCAGTGGTTAGGAGTCAGCGCTTTCACTGCCAATTGCATGGGTTCAATCCCTGGTTGGGGAACTAAGAGCCCACAAGCTGCGCACCATGGCCAGAAAATAAAATAAAATAAAAAATAGGAGTAATACATGCAAATATTCCAACAACCCAAACATTATAGAAAAGTATTGATATGTGTTGCAAAGTAGCCCTCTCCTGTCTTCCCCTTTCTCTGTCCAAAGGTAGCCAATATCAATATATTTTTTAAAATATTTATTTATTATTTTTTAAATTATTATTTATTTTTGGCTGTGTTGGGTCTTTGTTGCTGCACATGGGCTTTCTCTAGTTGCAGCGAGCGGGGGCTACTCTTTGTTGTGGTATGTGGGCTCCTCATTGCTGTGGCTTCTCTTGTTGCGGAGCACGGGCTCTAGGCACGCAGGCTTCAGTATTTGTGGCACGTGGGCTTCAGTAGTTGTGGCTCATGGGCCCTAGAGCACAGGCTCAGTAGTTGTGGCGCACGAGCTTAGTTGCTCTGCAGCATGTGGGACCTTCCCGGACCAGGGTTCGAACCCATGTCCCCTGCATTGGCAGGCGGATTCTTAACCATTGTGCCACCAGGGAAGTCCCTAAAAATATTTATTTATTTGGTTGTGCCGGGTCTTAGTTGCGGCATGCCAACTCTTGGTTGCGGCATGTGGGATCTAGTTCCCTGACCAGGGATCAAAGTCGGGCCCCCATATATTGGGAGCGCGGAGTCTTATCTCCTGCACCACCAGGGAAGTCCCTCAATTATTTTTATTATTATTATTGCTCTATCCCTTAAAAAATACTTTTTAGAATTTTTTCTTTTAACATTTTTTTCTTTAAAAAAATTTCAGGGGCTTCCCTGGTGGCGCAGTGGTTGGGAGTCCGCCTGCCGATGCAGGGGACACGGGTTCATGCCCCGGTCGCGGAAGATCCCACATGCCGCGGAGCGGCTGGGCCTGTGAGCCATGGCCGGGCCTGTGAGCCATGGCCGCTGGGCTTGCGCGTCTGGAGCCTGTGCTCCGCAGCGGGAGAGGCCACAATAGTGAGGGGCCCGCGTACCGAAAAAAAAAAAAAGAAAAATTTTCAGATGTAGAAAACAAACTTATGGGGACTTCCCTGGTGGTGCAGTGGTTAAGAATCTGCCTACCAGTGCAGGGGACACAGGTTTGAGCTCTGGTTTGGGAAGATCCCACATGCCGTGGAGCAGCTAAGCCTGTGTGCCACAACTACTGAGCCCGACTACCTAGAGCCTGTGCTCTGCAACAAGAGAAGCCACTGCAGTGAGAAGCCCGTGCACCACAACAAAGAGCAGCCCCTGCTCACCGCAACTAGAGAGCCTGCTCACAGCAATGAAGACCCAATGCAGCCAAAAATTTTAAAAAAAAACAGAAAAAAAACCCCAAACCCCCAAACTTATGGTTACCAAATGAGTAAAGGCGGAGAGATAAATTAGGGGGTTGGGATTAACATATTCACACTACTATACATAAAATAGATAACCAACAAGGACCTACTGTATGGGTCAGGGAACTCTACTCAATATTTTGTAATAACCTATAAGGGAAAAGAATCTGAAAAAGAATGTATGTATGTATATATATATATATATATATATATATATATAAAATCATTTGCTGTACACCTGAAAATAACACATTGTAAATCACTGTAGTTCAACTAAAGGAAAGAAAGGAAGGAAGGAAGGAAGGAAGGAAGGAAGGAAGGAAGTTATTTGTTCTTCATCCAGGTGTCCATGACTTGGACAGTAGGAGATGTCATCCATGTGACACATTACAGTGAACTTAAAGGAAAGGGATTGATCAATAAGTTTATTTGCATATTATTAACTGAGTAAAATTCACATTTGAGCAAAAAAATTTTTTGGTTTTCTTTAAAAAATGTTTTTATTGTTTAATTGTATTGTTTCATTTATTGTTTAAAGTACTTTTTTCCAAACTTAAAAACAATTCTTACTCGGCCTGTTTCAGAAAGGATTTAAGATGGGCTCCTATTTTGCTGGATTTTTAACAAAAACACTAGAAGTCTTACCCTTACTCTCCCTTCCTGTGATGCATGGGATGGAACTTAAGTCATCACATTTGGCTTTGTTTTGTTTTCTTAATAAATCAGTTCTAATGAGAAAAAAGATCTGGCCCAATCAACAGTTTAACATGAAGAAACCAAATCTTGCCCGCATGCTGATGGCACCAGAATTTTAAATGTGCTGCGTGGTAGACTTTCCTTAAATTACTTAGAATGTGGCCAGCTTAATGCAAATAAGGAAAATGAGACCTTTTAGCCACGGTGGTGATGGCATCACAGGTCCTGTGAGAGAGGTATTTGTGACATGGGAGACGGTGCACGTGGGGCTCCTGTGTTCTTGCTGGTGACTGTGGTGACATGGGTCCGCTGTGTAAGGGCTCAAACCTGAGCGAGCTTCACATTTTTGATCATGTATCCCTATCATTGAAAAAATATTGAGGCGGGGGATATAAATTAGGAGTTTGGGATTAACATATATACATTACTACAATACAGGTAAACAACAAGGACCTACTGTATAGCACTATACTCAGTATCTTTTTTTAAATATGTGTATTTCTATATTTATTTACTTTTGGCTGCGTTGGGTCTTGCTGCACTGGCTTTCTCTCTAGTTGCGGCGAGCGGGGGCTACTCTTTTTTTTGTTGTTGTTGGGGGCAGGAGTTTATTAATTAATTAATTAATTTTTGCTGTGTTGGGTCTTCGTTTCCGTGCAAGGGCTTTCTCTAGTTGTGGCAAGCAGAGGCCACTCTTCATCGCAGTGTGCGGGCCTCTCACTATCGCGGTCTCTCTTGTTGCGGAGCACAGGCTCCAGACACGCAGGCTCAGTCGTTGCTCCACGGCATGTGGGATCCTCCCAGACCAGGGCTTGAACCCGTGTCCCCTGCATTAGCAGGCAGATTCTCAACCACTGCGCCACCAGGGAAGCCCCGGGGGCTACTCTTCGTTGCGCTGCATGGGCTTCTCATTGCGGTGGCTTCTCTTGCTGTGGAGCATGGGCTCTAGGCACGTAGGCTTCAGTAGTTGTGGCACATGGGTTCAGTAGTTGTGGCTTGCGGACTCTAGAGCTCAGGCTCAGTAGTTGTGGCGCATGGGCTTAGTCGCTCTACAGCATGTGGGATCTTCCCGGACCAGGGCTCGAACCGGCGTCCCCTGCATTAGCAGGCGGATTCTTAACCACTGCGCCACCAGGGAAGACCCTATACTCAGTATCTTGTAATAACCTATAATGGAAAAGAGTCTGCAAAAGAAATCTGTATCTATATCTATATCTGAATCACTTTGCTGTACACCTGAAACTAACACACTGTAAGTTAGCTGTACTTCAATGAAAAAGTAAAAATATATAAAATATAAGAACAAGAACTAAAAGAAAAAACAAAAAAACAAAAAACTTGAGCCTGCACCTGAACATGTATTCACTTATAAACTCTACCTTATGTTGAGTCATTTGAAATTGCTGATGTCCCATTGTTCTGACCTACAAAAATAGCAATTTCATATGATCACATACTATCAGACTAATAGTTTTACACATTGTAAGATATACACACTACATATTTTAAAGGATAATACACATATCAAGTAAGCATTGTAAACATAATTTTAATTAATTTTAAATATTTTTGCTCTCATGTATTTATTATATATTAAATATAGTTTAATATTTAAGTTATCTCACAGAGAAGCATAGAGTCACATGA